GCTAAGTCGTTAGCTAATCAACCAACATATGGTTGATTAGCTAAGTCGTTAGCTAATCAACCATATGTTGGTTGCAAACAATTTTTAAATTTAATACTGAATTTAAATATAAACAGGACAGCTACAGTGTTAATATTGATATCAATATTAATTACTAACTGACTCATACAGCTAATAATAACAGTAACAAATGTAGCCCATATACGAACTTTGTTCCTCAACGCAACAGAAGCAGACAAAAGCCGCTGGTTTAGCCTCCTATAATCGATCAACTATGTTTCCCAGAGTTGCACATGAACATGTTCGGGTTCGTGGGAATCCAAAAATGAGGGCCCCGCTCAGCCTGCTGTGTTCAGTCCTGCTCTGTCTGAGCCAAAGCCTGAGCCAGTAACTCCTCGCTGTGGCGTGGAGCTGCTGCGGTGTCCCATCACTGTCACCGCTGGCTTCCAGAGAGTCTCCTCCATGCATGCCGTTGCTGACATTCTGCCCTGGACAAAAGGTGGGACTCCAGCTCGGTTGCTTGCCTCAGACGCTGTATCAACCTGTCTAAGTGGCTCCATTATCTTCACTGTGGCTGTTGTCCTGTCCAGTCACCTGGACATATCAGTCTGGCATGGACTTGGATGCCAGACTCCATCCAAGCCACCTAAGAGCCGGCTTTCGCCCTTGTCAGCAGAGGGTCGCAGTGGCAGCCTCTGTCCATGTCTCCAGAAGAGTCCCGTCTCCTCCCATGTCGCCTCCGGCTCCCGGCCAAGCCACCAGAGGAGTCCGACCTCTTCAGCTATCTGTAATCTCTGGCCAAGTCTCCGGATAGGCCACGTCTTTTCCATCAAGAGTTGATCTCTGCTACTGGCCTCCCAGTCATCCTCCAGAATTCCTCGGTGTCAGCCTCCTGATTAGTTTGGTCTCAGCCGTTGTCCTCCTGGCCAACGCCCTGGGCTGTTTTCTGTTTTGTTTAGACTCCACTGCATGTATGGTTGTTGGTTTTGTTCCAGATGTAGAGGATGAACATTCTGTTCGTGAATGGCTCGAATGGGTTTACAATAAATAAAGTTAGAATCACTTAACTCCGTCAGTCCCAGTACTGGGACACGTATGTATCTCTTATTAATACACAAACCAAGCAGAGTCTGCACAGCTCTCCGTATGCTACAATAATAAGACCCCCCAGTACTGCTGTGATTAAATTGTGATTTGTGAAGCATCAAATCTGGTAGAGCTAAACTTTTTTTTAAACACACTAATAGCATCGATATTTTCTCGGTCATGAGGCTGTTGTTCACACTTTAATCTTAATAAGACTGAAGTACAGTTTCTGGGGCCACTTGTCTTGTGTCCAGAGAGGCCAAGGTTGTCTAGTTTGGCTGCAGAGTTGTGAAGTGTTTACTGGCTGAATCTAGGTATGTTTTTTTTTGTTTTGCTAAAATGTATCCAAGGTCTTTGGGGGTTAAAGCAAAATGTCCATGTTTGCACAGCATACAATGCAGAGCCACACAATGTTAAATGCTGTGTAAAGGTCTTCAGAGGCTGCCAGCGTTCTTGGCAGGCAGCTGTTCTTTTGAGGAATCAAAAACGACCCGTCTGCTATTTCTGTTTCTCTCTGTTTTTCCAAATGATTATTTCAAATAGAGCCTCTTTCAGGACATACACAGACTAGAGTCTGTTTAGCACCATGAACACAGTCCATCAGTGCTTTAATAATGACAGGGTTGTCTCATCCTCAGCAGCTAAACTCATTAACTGCTGTCTAACCACATGGACTCACCTCGTAGTCCACCTCCAGTGAGTGTCCTTCCCCTTTGGTTTGGAAGCGCTGTGTGTAGGAGTCCACTGTGAGGTTAACCTGCTTGTTGAAGCGCTCTATATGAACCGAGTGCCAGTGCTGGTCATCCAGCAGACTGCCCACAGTGACGGGAACACGATGGCTGCTGAACCTCGCTCGGCTATCATCTTTACAAACAGAAGACCAAGAAGACAGTGAGCAGACACATCTCCAGCAATGACGCTGTATTTGTGTTTGTACATGTGGAAGTAGGCACTGCTTTTCAAACTTCTCTCAACTAAGCCAAGCTGGTCTGGACCTTTCAGTATCGTTTGTTAGAAACAGCACTACTCTTTACATTCAGGTTGAGCCAATGATAACTTAATCGTAAAGACATCCTCCAAAATATATCTCCTCTAAACGCCCCATATCCCCTCAAACATACTCACGCTCGTCATCTCCAGCAATGACACGTCAATGACCACCAACACTGGAAAAACAGAGCTCACCTAAGTTGAGGTAGAGGTCCAGTCTTCCTCTGTGAAGTTCTAGGGTGATGTAATCTCCTCGCTGCCCCTCTCCATGCAGTAATACGCCCTCGGCCTGATGGCTTTTGAAGCGCAGAGAGATCACGTCCTTGACCGTCGACATCGACTTCTGGTTGAACCGATACAGCAACGAGCTTCTGCCATCAAAGTCTGCCACGTATGACTCTACAAGAAAAGGATCGACTCTAGAGTCAGTATTACGTCAGTGACTGTAAGTAAAGAACAATTAAAGTGTGTCTAATATCTACTTGTTACAAATCACAGTGCAGATACTGTCATATTTTCAGCATGAACTGCGCCTGAGAGCAGGTGGTGGTTTAAACGTTTTACGTAAAGATAATCAAACGACAGGAATACATTTTCCCAACTGGTACTGAGCAGGGAGGTCATCGGAGGATGTAAACAATGGCAAAAGAGGTATTAGAGATTTTTAATGTCGTTTTGACATCTTGCTTGTTAGTTTCCAGAACAGCGGCTTTGAACGAGCAGCAGACAGTTAGGCAGCTATCCAGGAAAAGAGAGAGTGGTTCAGTGGAGTGTGGGCAGAAGACTGGAAGACACTGGCTTTATTTGAGAAATGTGCACGTTTGAGTGATTATCATGGATACAGGTAATCTATTACTCTGTCCATTTTAAAAGGTGCAACAATGTAATGTCCCATTGATGGAAGCCAAACGTTCTGGTTCTCCTCCCGTCTGCAGGGCGGCAATTTTGTTCAGCAGTTCGAAGAAGAACTGCGATAGCCTGCTTCCATGCACATGTTGGCAAAGACAGTGTTAAACGATGGCACAGTCACTGCCTTACAGAATGGGGAACAATGGAAGCTTTAAGAGGCTTAAGAGGCTTTAGAAGAGCAGTGACCAGTTGCAGAGGAGGTAAATGTATTATGCAGATATTCTAACCAGGCCAAATGAGAGCTCCAGGACCATGGATCTGATAACATCATGCACCATAATGCTGTTTCTAGTTTTCACCATTTGTCCATTAGATTAAGGATCAAACTAAGTTTAGCTTGCAAAGATGTTTGAGACCTGAGAGACAAAGAGGGGACCTCCATTAAATGCCACAAGGAATGCCATAAAGCTGGAACACATGATTAACCAGTTTGCTGTTTCAATGAAAGTAGGTCTCTTAGAAATCTCTATATGATGGCTAGCATGACTTTGTTACTTCCGATCGAGGCAGGCCACAAAAAAATCGGAGGTTCTGTAAGTGACAATACGGCAATAGGGAACAGGAAGAGGAACAAAAAACCCAAGTTTGATGCTTCTCTGCTTAGCAGTTATAGACCAATTTCAAAACTACCATTCATTGCTAAGATTTTAGAAAAGGTTGTGGCGACGCAGCTTATAACTCCGTGGAGCCCACTCTACTGAAACTGCACTTCTTAGAGTGTCCAGTGATGACTTGATGTGATGAGGAGAATGCTCCGTTTTGCTGATGTTGGACTTGACCTCTGCCTTTGATACCGTTGATCATCACATTTTGCTAGATGGGCTGAGGTGGGTTCATTTGAGCCCCAAGATGTTTCCAAACTACAGATTTTGCATAGGTGCATAGACTCCATTAGAGGTTGGATGACTGATAACTTTTTTCTACATAATGAGGAGAAAACCAAAGTCTGTTTGTGCTCCTACCAGGAATCTTGGAGTTCTTTTCAGAGCTCTTTTACATCCATACATTCCCAGCAGGTCCCTGAGGTCATGTGATCAGGGCTCGCTGGTTGTCCATCATACGAGGCTGCTGTTTTGTAACTGTGGCCCCAAGACTCTGGAGCTCTCTCCCTTTGAGCTTGAGATCTGTGGACTCAGTGGTCTCTTTTTAAAAAACAGCTAAAAACAGCTTCTTAAACTTGCCTTTGGTTAATTTTTGTTTTTATGTTTTATTTTCTGTGAAGCACTTTGTGGTTGTTATCTTCAAAGGTGCTAAACAAATAAAATTTTATTACTCTTACTTACTAACTGACCAACCAGTTCCAGTTTTACTCCTGGCACATTGTACGGTACAGGCTAACATATATTCTGTGGTACTGAAAGAGTGAGGAAGGATGTTGGTTCAGGAAAGCTGAAATCTGAGAACTGTCAGACGAGAGCTTCAGGTTAATATTTTGGAAACCTGCACAGTACGTGATTATGAAGGTAAACCAACTAAAAAGCAACTGGTACCTAGCCTCTCTTGGGTTCAGGCATTTGGCATTCTGCAAATAAAACATGTTTTTTAGTATTTGTCCACACAATAAAAAGGCAGCTCGGCCCCACCAGCTCGTTCAGCTGAATTCATTCAGCACCAGATAACAAAAATAGTAAGGTAAAAACCTCGAATAACAGAGAGAAAATCCCAATTATCAGAGGACCCTCTATGAGCAAGTATTTGGTTTCAGCAGAAACGAAACACTCCCTGTGATCGGTCGAGGTTGGGAGAAATGACAAAAGACACACTGTGCAAAAAAGCCAGAGAATAATAATAACTAATGATTAAAATGCTCTATAAACACATAAAAAGTTAAAAGAGGTGAATGTTTTTTGGAGTGCATCGAAGGAAAGGTTCAGGGTCACTTGATCCAGCCATTACTAAAACTTTTATCCAAATCAAACTATTTAAACTGAACTTTAAAAGTTGACAGGATGTCTGTCTCCCCAATCCAAACTGGGAGCTGGTTTCACATAAAAAGGGGCTTAAAAGCTGAAGTCTCTGCCTTCCTTTCCACTTAATACTAAATATTACAAGTAAGCCTGCAATCTGAAAGAAAACTGCTCTATCGGGGGTGATACGAACTATGAGGTCTTTAAGATATGATAGGACCTGATTAATCAAGACCTTTTAGGATAGGATTTTACATTTCATTGTAGATTTAACAGGGAACCACTAAAGAGAAACTAATATGAGAGCAATATAATTTGTCAGTCCCTTTCTTGCAGTATTGTGAAGGCTTTACATGGCGCTGTTAGAACGAGCTGATAATAATTATATATCATCATCCAAATCTAGAAGTAATGAACTTTAATGAACTGTTTTTTGCAGCACTCTAAGACAGGATGTTTGTAATTTTGGAGATATTGTGTACATAGAAGAAAGCATCCCTGCATATTTGATATGTAGGGACATATCAAAAATTACTCCAATGACCTCAGTTTTTATTTTAGAAGCTGGAAATCAGAAGTCATACAGATCATAATTTAATGTAGGGGTGGGGAACTCCAGACCTCAAGGGTCGGTGTCCTGCAGGTTTTAGATCTCACCCTGGGTCAACACACCTGAATCAAATGATAAGTTCATGACCGTTTAAATCAGCTTCTTGTCAATCTTCTTGTCCACCACAACTACGTCTGGTTGGTTAGCCATCACCATTTTGTCCGTCTGTATGTTGAAGTCCCACAGGATCTTAGCTCAGCCATTTGCCACCACCCTAGTGGGCGTCTCCTGAACATCGTGGATTGTCGTTGTCTCATCCTGGACCGTGATGCTGACACTCATCAGTCCCCGGCTTCCTTCCTTCCACTTAGAGCACAGCCTCAGGGTGCTGGACTTGGGGTAAAACTAGGGCTGGGCGATATGGCCTAAAATCCATATCACGGTATAATTTGAAGCATGTGCGGTAACGATGTATATCGCGATATATTCTTTTCTTCTGTATAACATATTTTACACACTATAAAGCACACTTAAAATGCTTTAATTGTCTCAAAATCGACAGTGTGCCTTATGTATGAATTCTGGTTGTGCTTACTGACCTCGAACCGATTTTATGTGCTACAAATCTGTCCAAAAGTGTTT